TAATTAGAAAAACTATGAATACATTTACAAATGCATTTTATATCCAGTGCGCTCAGTAGATATATTTTCTGCCCCCTCAACAAGAGAATGTTGGTATTGAGAAAGGGGTGCCTTGAGTAGAAATATCTTCCTATTTTCCCTTTCATAGATTCATACATTGTTAGGGGCTGGAAGGAACCTTGCAAGATCATCGGGTCCAGCCCCCTGCACTAGGCAGGAAGCGAGGTGACCATCGAGGTGACCGTCCAGTCTACTCCTGAAGATTTCCAGGGTAGGTGCTTGCACCACCTCTGGAGGGAGTTTATTCCACAGTCTGGACACCATAACTGTGAAGAAGTTTTTCCTAGTGTTAAGCCTGAAACGGTCTTCCAGGAGTTTGTGGCCTTTACACCTCATTTTCCCCAAGGGTGCCCTGGTGAACAGTTGTTCGCCAAGCCCTTGATGTATTCCCCTGATGTAGCGGTAAGCTGCTACCAAGTCCCCTCTCAGCCTTCTCTTTTTTCAGTTTATTGATGCATCTCACATCCAGAGAGGTATCAGCACTTGGGGAAGGATACAAGTGATTGGTATTTCCAAGCCTGAGTCCTTCATCTGAGCAAGAATTCAAGCACGTGCTTAACTTCAGGTGCCGAGGCCTCGCTGGGGTTGGTGAAGCTAACCGGGTGCTTACCTGCGTTGTGCTATTGTGGTGGAATGAGGAAGGGAGGTTCTACTTGCCATCTTGCCATTCACTGGCCACTCATTTTGGAGTCTTTCTATGCCATCCTCTAAGGAATCACAGAAAATAGTCTAGTCCCTTCCCAAAAAAGCCTTTTTCTCACAAAAACTCTTGCTACAATTGATGTTGATCCCTGGCATCCATGGCGATTTGGGTAGAAACCAAGACCACGTATGCAGCATGAGTTCCTCTGCTACTCCAAGAAGTTGTCTCACTAGCTCCGAGTCATAGCCCCCCTCTACACATTACGTTTATGCCACGATTAATGTGTTTATCACAGGATAAATGGCAAAGGTGCTACACATGCACCCAATTTAAGGTTCCATAAACTGGTAAACCAGCCATAAGTGTTCCACGCATAATGGAAAACATGTTTATGACTGGTTTGTATGGCACCTTAAATTGAATGTGTGGTGGGTCCAGGGCTGGGGCTGACAAGCAGCTGATTGTTGGCCCCAGCCCTGGACCTCCAGTACCCAGCTTTCAATTTCCTGGTGCAAGGGGAGCTTGGGATCATGACCCCAAGCTCCTCCTGCACTGGCAAGTAGAAAGGGCACAACTGGGATCTGATCCCCCATGCCAAAATCATTCCTCACGTGACATGGCAGGAGGCATGACTGTTGGGTTCAGAACCCATGTCAACTCTAAATGAATGTGTGCTCGGGGCTTAGGAAGAACACTAAAGTGCTGGGTTATGAGATAAAAACTACAGTTCCAGCAGCCTGCTTCTGCCAGAGAAAGGTACGTACAAACAACTCTCATTACGGTCAAGGAAAGTTACTTGCATCCTGTTGTGAGCCAGGCAGGACCCAGAGCTATGAATCTGGCACTTCTCTCTGGAACAGAATTAAGCCTCCCTCCAGAAAACAATAGGTTAATTCATTTAAAACCATCTAGTAACAGAAATCTGTTCCTTCTGAATGGCTGACTAATGGAAAACTACAGAAGATATTTTGGTCCTCTGAACTGCTGACTTTGAAGTGCACTCACATAACCAGGCTAATATTAAAGGTATTAAAAAAAATTCACTAATAATTACTTTGGGGAGACCAGATTTTGGGCTTCAGATCGTGGGTACATAAAGTTCAAGTACATTTCTGAAACATTTCACAGTTGACTTCAGCAGCTTATTAAGTAACATTAATCAAAATACATGCTCTGCTTGGATCTTGGAAGGGATTCTTTTTTTCTTTTTTTTTTCTTTAAGCCTTAATTGTCCACTGAAAAACAACAAGGCAAACAGCAATTACATTGGTGGAAGAGACGGGGGGGGGAGTTTGTGTGGGTTTTTTGCCAATGGCCGCAGCTAATAAAACAGCTATAGTAATATATACACATGAAATGGTTAAAGCACTAGAGAATTGAAAGCACACAAGTGCGGGTACGAAGGAGTTTTGTTACAGTACTTATCATTAGTCATTTATTTTCAGAGAGTTGATGGAACAAAATCCATGCAGCGATGCAAGGCTCCCCACGGCTCTGGCTGAACAGTGGTGTCACACACTGCTTATTGTTTGCAATATCTGCAGTGTGAAACACAGCGAAACATTAAAGTTGCTGGAGCTCTTCTGATTTATACAGCTGAAGATCTGGTTTATTGTGTGCAGAGTTTGCAGGGGGGGGATAGAGGTAGGAAATGAAATCCAACGTGCAATAGAGGAATCTAATCTATGGATTTTTGCTGTCCTCAAGAACAAAGCCAGGAGTGAAATAATAATTATCTATTCAGAATTGGGCTGAGCAGGGCCAGTGCTTGCCTAGGAGACCTTCCCAGGAATACACTAGTACTTCTGGAAGTGCAGTAATGGTCGATCGCTGATTAGATAACGCTTTTGCCTCCGAATCACTACTGTCTTACTTAGACTCTTACCCTCCCTCAACACTGTGGTATCTTCATGCCCATTGAAACAATGGCTCTCCACAATGCCAGCTTGCCAAATGACACTATGGAGCTGCCATCTTTTACATGATAAGGGAAATTGCCATTCTGATGAGTTACTGAAGAATTTGTGTCATTTTTCATGGGTACCCTGGCCAAGTTATAATTGATATGATTACATTCTGCTTTCTGACTCTAATTACCATCTGTAGCTGGAGTTGGGTAGGATTCTCTTCTTTTGCTCCTTGCACTGAATTGTTGCATGGTGCGTTTGGGCACCATTAAACAGCTGCTCTGCTCCACTTTAGTGATGGCTTCATTTCAGCTTGTAGTCCCTATAACTATGCTATATATCATGCATCAGTTTGTTGAAAGTGGTTGGCTTGGCATTTTGTTTTTAGGATGAAAGGAACTGCAGAAGTCTATGCTATTTATGGATATTGTATCTTTATTGAACTGCTTTGGTTGAGCTGTCATTTGGGACGTACAACACAGAATCTATTGAACTGAGTGGGGAGATCCAGTTTAGGATGTCCCTGTGATTCTGATGAGTTACTATAGTCTGTGCTGTGTCAGATCCACAGAGAACTGTTTCAATCTGCTGGTTATAATACAGCCTGATTTATTTTTGAATGGTAGAGTTCATATGACAATCTCATCCAGCTTCATGGCCAATTACTGTCATATAGTATCTGCAAAAGGTAAAGAACTATTTTCATTTAGGAGGAGGAAGAGACAGCATGGATTGGATCCCCCAGTGCTATGATATACAAATAATAGTCATTTGTGTGCCCAGTCTAGAAGCTTTCCCAAGAGAGATTTTCCCTTTCTTCCTATCAGCTAGGAAATCCACATCTACCACACAATGGTCTCCCTTCTTTGCTCCATTGGCCACATTAGAGAAACTATTTCCAGTATTCCCTTATAACAAATAGAAGCAGAAGCAGAAAGATTAATTTTCTACCAGCAACCAAATTTACTACTAGAAATAAGAGTGCTTCACAATATTCTTGTGAAATGACACAGTCCAGTGGCTTGAATTGAGCTCTCCTGGATTTTATTCCAGCCTTCCATAGAGACAAACTCAATGACTTTGGGCAAGTCACTTCATTTTGCCATGCCTCAACTTCCCTATCTATAACATGGGGTATATTAATGTCTGCCACGTATTGTACATAGGAGAGGCTGGGAGAGGGGCACAGACAATAATCATAGCGAATCTCTTCATGTAGACTGGACCAAAGCAAACCTCATACATGAACATGCACAGGTCTGTGAAGTTCAGAGTGGATTCTT